AGATTACTCTTTAAAATCTACAGGGCAATTCTTATTCCTGATATACTGATCTTCCTACAGATGAGAATATGCACTCATGCCAGTGAATATTCAAGGTATGTAGGAGAAGATTACCACACCTGAGATTTACTTGGCAGACCTCAGAGATACACTCTGCCCATGGATCTTATAGGTCCAAGTAACAAGGATATGCACGTAGTGCATGCATACACTAAAATAGGTCACTGTTTGCATAAAGCATGCAGTATGTTGGCAGATGCTGTAACTGTATATGCAGATAACGATGGTCAGTACAAAAATTTGATTGTTTATGAAAGTTTCCATTTGCACATATTGCACCTGTATGTTTCTGAATACATCAGATACCTACGTTTTGTTTTTTCCACAGTATTTTAAAAAATAATCAGTATTCTTATCATATTCTCTACATGTTCATATAATTATGATTAGAACATCAAAGTGGCATTACTTAATTTCACAGAGTAGCAAAAAGGGTGACCGCTTTACTTGCATTCATTTGTGCATATTTCCCAAAACTATTCAAATGTTTATTTGGGGATGTTTAGCCATTTCACCTGTTTTTGATTGTCTTAATAGAATTGAGATACTAGAGAAGTTAACATGCTCCTTACAAAGTCTCTCTTTTGTTTTATTTAATGATGTAAAACATCAGTGGCAGTTGTTGTACGGTATAATGATTTTTCCTTAGCAGGTGGGAAACGGAAGAGCCAGTAAGAAGAGACCATCTGGGAGCATAAAGGTATGTATTGCAAATAAGTGGAACACCCCTCTTAAGCAAATTAATCAATCTTATTGTCAAGAACAAAAGACCTGGGCTGCTTCTTCAGCCTTCTGAAGTTATTCATAGGTTGGGAAAGAAAGGCAGGGAAACTGAAAGAAACAACAATGCAAACAAAGCAGATACTGAAAGCAGTGGCACAAAACAAATACATTATCATGCTGAGAAGTTTTGAGTAGCAGGAAAAAAATAAGATGTATTTGTTAGAACTGTACTGTTGATGAAACTTATTGCATCTGGCTCCATGAATCCTGAAATCACTAAACCTGGACATTACAGATCTAGTTTCCATCAAAATTATTCCATGACTGTAATCTATGGATGACCTACTAGAAGTCATGAATAGTATATATAGCTCCTTAAACTGGTATGTAATCTACAGCTTTACTCACAAACAGCACCACACAAACACAAGTACATCACAAATAAGCACCAATACCGACACAGTGCATCCTCTTTGCTTTAACAGCATAATCAGAAATACTATTATACTATTAAATTTCTATTGCCTACGCTTTAGAAACTAAACACAGTCAAGAAACTAATGTGCAAACGTGACGTAGTAACTTGTGTTTTACACTTTGAAAGAGGCTTCTCAAGATTCTGGTAACACAGTCTTTTGTCACAGCACCATGGCAGAATCTGTTCAGGAATACACTTTTTCAGTCTACTGGCGCCCAATTCGGGAGCAGGAGGAGACAGCATCCTGCTGAGAATGTCTAGCAAAGGTTGCATGATCGATTTCTCAAAGCAGTAAGGAGGGAACACAAAGGACCTTATTTTTTTATTACACTGGAAAGTGCTGACGGCTCTGCTCAGGTTGCTTTCCTGTCAATGTCTTAAAAGCAATAAACAAAGGTTGCAACAGCATGTATGTAACAGCATATATAGTACGAAGGTAAAAAAAGCAGACAGAAAATCAAGAGGAGGAAAAAGATGAAACCCCCCCCCTGCTCATTTAATGACTGGCATTTTCAGAAGAGCTCTGGGGTATATTTATGCTGTGTTTGGAAGCTGTGACTACAGCACGTCCAGTAGCCACCTGAACCCAGCTAGGTCAGGTAAGAAAAGTCACAAAGCTCTTAAGAATGGGCTGCCATGTCTGATGACACAGATCAGTAATTATGTTCCAAGATTTTACAAGATGTATCCCATGAGACTGGATGTTTTGCAGGGAGATTTTTGGGACCTAGATTTTGAAAACTGGGTGGTTGGATGGGTTTTCTCATTGTTGAATGGACTAACTCTTCCTCAAATAACTATTTTCTTTCTTGCAGGCTTAGCATCAAATGAAACGAAACCCGTGGCTTCATATATGGAGGAGGGTTGCAGAGACAGATTTGTTTTGCAGGTGCTGTTGAACACAGCAGAGAGCAGATCAGTCTCCTCTGACTGTAAATCAGGAGTTAATTACACAAAGAGACACAGAGGGAAAACCACTAGAAAACTGACACCAATGAAGAATTACATTGAAAGACAAATGCAAACATGAACGCTGGAAGTTAAGCATAATAAAATGGAGTGATTTTATCTACTGCTATTATGGTAAATTTTAACATATACATGGTATATGTTACAATATCAGCATTCATGACTTGGTCAGGTTCTAAGTGACTGTACTGATTTATTGTGCTCTAGATTTATTGAGGTTTTGGCAGAGATTTTCTTCTCCGAGCATCTCCTGAGAAATAACTAACTGGAAACAATTAAATGTTGTGGCCCATGGATAATTAAAAAGTAGGCACTGGGGACAAAATTAAAAGGTCATGATTACTACTGTCATATGTGTAGATTCTGTTAAGGCTTAAGTTCGGAGTTGTATGGGTTTTTTGACAGTGCGGGTATCAAAACACTGGGTGTTTTTGTTTTATGTTTGCTTCTCTAAATAAAAGGATAGGCAATAAATGTAGGATTGCAACAGCTTGAGTCTAGATCATGGCAGAACCTCTCTCTCTGACTTACAGTAAGACAGAATACAGTTACAGTGGCTCTCTAAATGCTATGGCACAAATGTTGTTACTTACATGTTGTAGCTGAGTGATATTACCCTACAATAAAAACTAAGACTGAAAAGCTGTTGACCACAGGGAAAAAGAGCATAGGCCAAGTTTTACCTTCCTTACACATTTGTTTAAAGGGTTCCAGTTATGACATATACGAGGCACCTGCATTACAGGAAGCAACTAGATACAAACCCTAATGGACTTAGGATCTTCACTGCTGGCAACTGACTTTGCTGTGATCGAACAGGAGCATTTCAGCATGGCTGGGCAGAGCACGTGCACATCTCCGTTAACTTTTTGATTTAGCCTCCCTCTGAAATACGTCCTGCTATGTGTACGCACCTCACTGCTCAGAGTAACAAAAGAAGTGACATTAATGGCTTTCTTAAAAGACCTTTTATCCCACAAATAATAAACACATAACGACTGTATATTGAATTTTAACATTTCCATTCGGCAAAAAATCCCTAAATTCTTAACAAACTGATACAGAACTACATTGCTTTACTCACTAATGAAATATGGTTGCTTCTATGATTAATTAATTAGAGCTGCACAGCGCAAGACAAAATAGCAGAAATCCTAATCTGCAGCTCATAATAATGCAAGCCATCTCATTAAAATAACTGTGGCAAGAGTAGGGATGGGATTACTGTATTAAAATGCGGAAGGATTGCAAGACCTGGCTCCAACTTACAGCCTGATCAAGGCCCACTGAAATGAAATGGGAACTTCAATCCATTAGGCATTAAAAATAAAGAAATTGTAATCTCCTCCAGCTGAGAATGCAGGAAGAGAGACTGCATTGTTTGGCAGTGAATGTACGTCAGCTTTTTCATCCTAACTTCAATTTTTGACACACTGGTCTTCCCAATCTGTCTTTAAAGGTAATTGCATTACATTATTCACATATAAATAAAAATAAATAAATAGTAAAGATATTTTAAATACAGATACTGATTTTATAGTTTTTTAAGTACAAATCTACGTTAGCATTTTCTTTAGCTTTCAAATACCATGTCATATATATAATACATATAAAAGAGCAACCTTAAGTGCTAGTGCAACTAGTGTTGAGCAACCCATTTAGTTCTATAGCTACAAATCATTTGGGCATATACATTATTTTGTTAACCCGGGAAAGAAGCAATTTTGAGTTTTGTTATCAGGTTTTTCTTAAGATCACTATGCAATCCAAGGTTTGCATTCAGTTTGCAGGGTTTGTAGTGAGCAATTCATCAAGGAAATGGATTTTCCATTCCCAGAAATCTGTTATTGTTCAGAAATGCTGCTATAAGTAACTAATTTTTAAAGGAAGCTTTTGTTACACTGAACAATACTTATCTAGTGATGCTGTACCGTGAAGAAAGCATCTGCCTGCCGTATCATTGCTCTAGAACTTTTTGATCCAAGTCTTCTCTATGGCTCCACTCACTTTCCCTGTGACAGGGAAAGTACTGACAAGAAGTGACGCGGTTGCGGTAAATCAGTAAGGAGACCAGCTCCTTGCCACAGACTGAGCTCTGAAAGGAAGGGTGAAATTCAGTTCTCATTTATGCACATGAAACCCCACTAGCTGAAATGGACCTGTGAAACTGCACGCGGAATACATAGCTGTCTACGTAACTGTCATTATATGCACATGACGATGAAAGAGCTCCAAGATACAGGTATTTCTAAAACATGTTACTAGAACTAGTAGATGTGGTTTAGGTAAAAAATCCCAGATTTTGCCTTTGTGCAGTGTAGTGACATGTCTACGACACCCTTCCCGATAAGTGCATCGCTGCATGAAGACTTGTTTTTGCAGGTCTCTTTATAAAACCTACCGGATGCATCACTGTTTCTTCTTTGCATGTCCTTGTAATTCTAGCTTGCCTTTTTTTTTCTCCTGTGTAACCACCAAATTAAAAGTTTGATAATGCCCCTTTGGGTCTCACTTGAATAATTAGATTTTGCTTCTTATTACAGCTAAATATCTACCACATCAGATTCAATCACTTCCCCCATTTTTTTTTTCCAGACCCATTTTTTTTTCACCCCACACTTCCCTCCCAAAGCCCCAGTGTATTTTCTTTTTCACCTGACTCCCAGCTACTTTAAGGCTAGCGTTAGTGGTACCACTGGCTTGTTTTGTAAATAGCCTCTCTTGACAAATAAGTGAAACCGCAGGTGCCCTCTCCCATCGCCACCAGGATGTGGCCCTGGAGAACGTTACTCTCTAGACAAAGACACTGAAGAGAGGAAACTCGGCTTGGTTGGGTTGCAGCAAGTCAGTCAGGAAACACACAGTTCCCGAGAAACCTTCATACAGACTATATACGCTTTCTAATGCCCGGGAACCAGCCTTAAATTCTTCTGTAAATAAGAACTCTGCAAACCTAAGAGAAAAAAAAAAAAATAAAGAGTTTGTTATTATTTGATGTCACTCTGTGTCTACTTATGTGTTGTTTGAAAGCATCGTTTTAATAACGTTCAACGGTTAAAAAAAGTAGAATGTTCATTGTTTAATCTTATCTGCAAATTTTACACTATCTGATTTCCACATGAAACTGAGGTCCATTATACCGAGAAGAGACAAACCTTTGCAATATGTATATGCGTTATACTTCTTTAAGAGCTATACATTTTTTTCTGATTTCTGTAAGACATATTAAACATACTTTTATCTTGGCTGTTCTTTCAGCAGGGTGCAAGCAATGTTTCACATCAATGCAACAAATTCTGTAATGCTGAAATAACTACACAAATAAAATGTTCTCACTTCAAAGCAAATGGCTGAAAATAAAATTACTGTACCACTTCCCCTCATTATTCTATGCTGTAAGGAAAACAGTAACAAACATTGAATATTGTCTTTTTAAACATGTACAGTAAATTACAGAAATAGAATTAAAGATAATTGCGGCACTGTGACAGAATTTTCAGTGGACTACACTTGGCTTGCATCAGGTCAAAATGGAATTAACCCCACGAGTTAAGCTGAATGAACAGCACAATGTCAAACTGGCTAAAGCTGGGAATGATAAATTAAAAAACTGTAAAATAACAGCAAGGCAGGTCCTATATTAATTTTCCACTTCTAGTAGTAAGGGGTAGCCTTAAACGCTCTGAAAATCAGAACGAATCACATTTTACTCTGCTCCTGGATTTGGGTGTGCAGCTGAGCTGGTTCCTGACGTCATGTCAGGATGAGACCTGGATGCACACCGTTTCTCCCCATCCACCCCGGGTCCCTCTGAAGGAGCGCAAGCTTGTGGACAGGGAGGGAGGGAGGGAGCCCAGGAGAACCCGATGGTTCTCCCGCCGCAGGCAGCCTGGAAGCAGGACTGCAGGGCTCCGCGCAGAACGTGCCTGCCCCACAGCTCACAGGTAGAACGGCACCTGAGGCTCAAACATTCAGGTTACATCTGAGAGTGGTGATCACAGACTCTGAGCAGCTTTATAAACGTTCCTGAAACTTCCCAGTGTTACCCTGAATCCAGAAAGGTAGGACTGCTAACCTCTGTGCCCTGTATATGTATTTTGAGTTTCCAGTGAGCCTGTACAGCAGCAGGAACACATAAGCACTGCCAGCCACTCCATGGCATATTCCAGGTCCCTTCTTCAACAGGCCCTTCTGCCAGGTGAGCTCCCCGCAGCGGATACAAGTGTCCAGATACTGAGGCTTTTTGGAAACCAGGTAAGCTTTGGCGAACAGATATGCAATGCCTAGGAAAATAGCAGTGAGATCGTCTTCTGTAATGAGTAGGCCAAGGGTTTCACAGAACACATAAGAAAATAAAGATTAATACACTAAAAAACTGCAGTCTCATGCTTTACATGTCTCAGCGTTAAATATGTATATGCTACATATGGAGGGGAGAGTATCTGGTATGCTAAAAAGCATATGGTAAGAGGTACTTATCCACTCCCTGTAACAACGCCACTTTCACTCTTTTCAATACATTACTGAATTCCAGGGTTTAATCTAACATCTCTAAAATTTCAAGTCCTTCAGCATCTTAAAACAGTCAGTAGTCACCTTTTTTTGCCTTTAAACCAGTACACTCTTAGCACTGTCTTCTACCAGTTTCAAATCCCTATTCCCCTCAACTATTCACATTTACAGAAACACAAGGATGGACAAGATAATTTCTTACATTGGCAACAGATACAATTTTTTACTGAATGAGAAAAGGAATCTTGCTTGCTTTCTTCAGTAGGGCCCATGCCTCTTTATTCTAGTTATAAACAGTTATGCATACTAACTTCTGTTAAAAAAAAAAAAAAGACAGCTATTTGGCTTATTTTTAGAGGGGATTCAAATAAATTAATCATAATCTTCAACAGAGCACTGCACAGCTCAGTTCATGGCAACCTTAAAAGAATGCATATGACACATAACCAAATCAAGGGCCTCAGGAAATGTTTAGAGTAGCTCACTTGTGGTCTGAATATAATATACACTGAAGTAGCTGAAAAGAGATCTTGTAAGCTACATGTGTGCTATTAACCCAAGAAGAGTGTTGGGATACAGGAGAAAGAACGATGGCAATTAATGAATTTCCATGTCTCTAAATGTCTCCTAAAGTAACTTCTTTACACCATTTGGGATTTTAACACTTTGGTCAAGTCTCAATGCTTATGTCTCCACTAACATTTAAATGCAAATCAAAGGCCACTCTCAAGATCCTGAAACAAAAAGGGCATCTTCCCTGCATGTTTGATCACTCGGCCAGCCATGCTGTAGAAGTAATTTTTTCCTCTTAAAAATAAAAAAGGTTGGTAAGCAAGAGCTGTTTTTACTTCACTTCATTAGAGTGTGAGAGCAAGAAGCTTGTTCCATGATCATACCAACAAAAAAGTAATGCATCAGCAGAAAGCACATTTAAGGGTTGTTAATTATAATGTATTTTTTTTGTAATTTAAATAGAACACCTTTAAAAGCAATGCATCGATGCTCATGGACATTCTTCAATAAAAGTAAGTTTTTCTGTAACCTTCTAGGTTCATGTTACCAAGCCAATGACTCGTTAGCAATAAAATTCTGCCTGGGGGTAAAAAAGCAATTTCAATACACAGCATTACTTGCCAGAATTGCTAAGGTACAAGGTTAGATTCTGAACTGACAGACATCAGCCTGACTAAGGCTAACCCAAACTAAGGATCGATTCTCTTTTTCTCTGAAAAGCAGTTTTACATGAGTGACTTTTAGAAAAAAATGCCTCGTGCTAGTACAAACTCCCCTTCACATGAAAAACCTTTGGACAAATTTATGCGTTATCTATCCATGTAATAAGTGTAGCTTAAACTTTGATTCTGATGAGGGGGCAAAAAGCTATTATGAAGGCCTTCCCAAAATTCACAGATGTGTCTGTATCTGTGTTCTTTTGCATACTATTTCTCTGTCCAGCCATATGCCGTCTTTAGACTCAGCTGTACCATTCTTTGAGGTCTTGCCATGAAAGGGAGCAAGAGTGGAAAATGTACAGTTCAGGATCACCAGAATTCTTTCAGCTGTGATCAGCTATCCTTTTAAGGCAGAAAATATACCTATCCTTCCAGCTACTTCAGCAATAAATAAAACACTCTCAACTGGAAGAAAAAGCCTAAAGAGTTTGCCTGCATCTCACAAAACATCAAAATCGGCCCAGTTTAACCTGAGATTATCTTCTACATGGAATCACCTAACATGGAAAAGCAATGTGACCAGCATCTGGCTATTCATAGCATCAATGGGAAAAGAACCTGGAGCTCCATGACACCAGTGTACAAGCTCATTTTCCCGCTCGATTGTCTCTCCCAGCTCAGGAGGCCAGTTGCTGTTCTGTTCTTGGTCCATAAGAAAATCAACGCTCTGCCACACAAGCTCCTGATCTGCTGGCTGCAGATACTCATAATAGGAAAGCAACATCTGAAGGATTGATGAAAGCCCATGTGCTGCACCTGAAAAGAACAGAAACAGTCAAATTAGAGCATAGGTTTAGGCCCTACCTCCACCTCACAGCAACTTTCCCTTGGGACTGATTTCCTTCTCAAGTGCATGATTCTTCCATCTTCTTTATGCATATTGCAATAGTGCTTGGAATAAAAGCTTTCTAGGTGCATGACACTATGATCTGTTACTACTTCCGTCATTTCCAGTTCCCCTAGCTATGCAAAAATATGTATGAATTTTTTCTGCCCTCTCTCTGATATGACCAAAACTCAGTGCGTGAAGTTAAACTGAACTTAAACTGAACACTGTTTCAAGATGTTATTCTTCTTGACACCCTACTGAATCTGGACGATTATTGTGATGTCTTTGTTGAACCCAAATTGAAACTGGACCGTAAATTATATTCCCAGTTACTGATCGACAGTATCAGTCAGCTAAAACCTAAATATCAGTGCAAGAATTGTCTGTACCTGCCAGGGTCTGTGGAGCAGCACCACTCAGTGACTTCTCCCTCTGCTCCCCTGCCAGAGAACTCACTAACATCTACAAACCAATCTCACACTTTCTGCAGGGTGATATTGTGCCTCGCGGACCCCACTAGGGACCTGCTCGATGACCTTTCCCCACTGCTTCAGACGAGCTCCAACTGCTCGTGATGGGTAGGAGCCGACCATTCGCTTGAATTTCACTGCTACAGCCAAAACTCCTCTGCAAGTCCCTGTGCGGCAACAGCAACTTACAAAGAACATCCCCTGACGGTTCTCTCTGGTACCAGTCTCCACACAGACATGGGCACCACAGCTCTGGCTGCCTCCATCTGGCAAGGGCAGGTTTACCAGGGCAGAAAGGAGAAGAGGGAATGAGGCTGCTGCTTGCTGCTCCCCTTGTGCAGAGCAGGCAGCTCTTGCGTTCCGCAGCCCTGGGCAGCATCAGTCCTTCCCTCCAGCTCCCCAGTCCCACTCAGCAGTTTTAGGAGGTCGGATGGTCCCAACTCAGTCAGGAGAAACCCCACACTGTAGGTTTTATATGTTTTATTTCTGAAGTGTCTACTGGCTCAGCATCTGCACACAGCATCGCTTTCAAAGTAGTTGGTGTGTTTTACTCACCAAGATATTCTGTTCCATAGTAGGAATACATGAGCGGGAATGGTTTCCTCTTCTTCACTGCATACTGCTTTCCTGACTCTAGTATGGCCAGGCAAATTGATTTTATTTGTGCTGGGGTCAGCACCTAAACAGAAACATCAAAACAAACATCAAGTCTATTATAATAATTTTGTTTTTAAGACATTTTTCAAGGCTCTGCTTTTTTGCTGGTGCACAAGACAAAGTACTACCTTTAATCTTATGAGCATGCCATAATGTACATCATTATTTAGACTTCCTTACATAAAACAACAAATTTACATACTCTCTCTCAAAAACGGGGTTTCATCCCGTCTCAGGAAAGCGAATGTCAAATCTTTAGCTGCACAGACGAAGTGAAAAGAGGCCCACCAAGAGCGCCTGCCTTTCCTTCCCAGAGATCCATCAGTCTGATGGAAGCTGACAACAAGCACCAGGCAAGCGGCAGAACAACAGCCTCCAGACTGGAGGAAAAGACATGAGGAGAAGACAAAGGAAAACAGACCCAAAGAAGAAGTAAATGTTATAGGCTTTATTGGGACACACTAAGCTAGACAGATTTTTCTCAAACAATACAAAAGAGGAAGCAAGGAAGGGGGTACTAAACTTTACTGAAAAGCAATGCTACATATGTGGGTTCAGAAACATTTTAGTAAAAGAATCAGGCTCTTTTACTACAAGAAAATACTAATAAAAATTAAGTGCAAGATAGGTTTCTATGAAGAGAGGCTAGCTGTGTTTATGGGATTTTATCGTCACAAACAGGTCAACACTGCCTTTAATGCAGTCCTAAGAAATGACTAATGCCTTACTCTTAGTGGGGCCAAAACTAAATAAGATTGACAAATCCCGTATTGCATCAGACATGAACTTTTCCAAGTTACTGACCTAAAGCATTCAGTGAAGAATAGGTTTTACAAGTTTTAACTCAAGTTCTAATGCTATGCAATTCGCTGCAATTATTCACCTTCTCCTCTGTGTCAGCCATATCAGTACATTACTGACCCATACCTAGGTCATTAAAATAATTTAGTTTCAGTAGTGTTTTGGCTTTCAGGGAAAGCCTGTATAGCAGCTGTACTTTACAAAAATATGAACTTAGGAAAAGAGAACTGGAAAAGAAAAAAGGCAAAACAAGGCAGAAAAAAGAAAAAGGCTGTAGAAATAGCATTGACAAGATAAATAGTAATCCTAAAACTAACTGGACTATCAAGATGTCTTTAAAATGTTTCTGAAGACAATTGGTTTTGCTATAATTTGTATTATCATAGGACTTACAATTACTTCTTCAAGGTTAAAAAGTACCGTTAGCATTAAGTATGGAGGTAACATCTGTTATAAACTATATTTGACATGTAAAAGATGCTGTGGACAATTAATGTCACTTAGAACTTGACTGAAAATTAATGGCTGAAAAATCTTATTTGTCTATCTTGTCTTGCTCCCTGATAACAATGCATTTTATTACAGCTGCTCCAAATGACTATGATATTTATGCAACCTGGAGAACAACTTACTTCTGATCTTGGTTAGTGTTCTTTAATGTTACTGCAGTAGAAGTAAATAAGCTGTTAACATCTGGAGACTTCACTCATTTCCAGTCATTTTTAAATGAATTGTTTTAGCTTCACTGAATTTAAAGAAATGGTTTAAATCCTAAGCAAATGAGGAGATCAGAGACATGATGAGACACGCTGCATTTTCTCCAGAGCTCTCATTTTACCGTCTTGCAGTTTGGGACCTAGTTCTCCAAATCCTACACTTTGTAAAAGGATTAGTAAGGTAACCCTTTAAAAATAAATGTGAAGGATAAGATCTCCTAATTGGAATTCTGGAAGGCAAAGGCATGCTGATTAGAAAAATTGTATCAGTTCATTTTCTGTATGTAACTGTTCCTTTACTTAATAAATCAACTGGCTTTCAATACAAACCATGTTTTGCTAAGCTTATTTTTATGTTCAGTGCATTTAATTTTTAAATTGAATTAATGACGATTTTACAATGCTGATAGTGTATTTTAAATGGATTTAAACTTCTACCCAAATCCAGCCTTGCACAATGCTACATAAAGAAGTATCAGCTAGCAAGAAATGCAGTGTTCACCATTTTTTAATGTAAAGTTCAAAAAGTCAAATACTTGAGCACTATGATTACTGATTAATTGTATACAAAGTATACCCTTTTGGCTGGCATAATGAAATATCACCTCTTTTTCAGAATGAGCCCATGTACCAAGCCAGATGAAAAAATTAGTTAAAATCATGCTTAGTCTGGATGATAGAAATCACCCCATCCTGACCCACTTCCACTTTATCAAAGAAAGCAGAAAAGAAAATAACCTGTATGTCTTGAAAGCAACCTTCTCTCTGGCCACTTGGACTGACCTGTATGCTTAAGACGGGTAGGAGATGTTGTGTAACTAATAGCTAAATAAGCAAATTTTCGTGCTGCCTCCAAATATCTCTTACCATGTGCCTCAATCCACAGTTGTCGTAGCACTGCTGCCTGTTTTCCAAAACACTTAAATATGAAGGTTTTGTATTTGGTCCTTATTCTAGGAAATGGCTGGCTGGAACAGACCCTCACTTACCATCATTATTTGTGGCCTTCCAAAGGTACAAATGATCAGAGATCACATTTAGGATCTCCATCGGCTTGCTACATTTTATTTCAACCAAATCTGTGGTAAAACCTCCTCAGATTTCTTTCACCTTGCCAAGAAATAAAATCTGTGGCTAGTTTCTGTATGTTCCCTCACATTATCTTTAATAAAACAGCTAAAAACTTAATGATCAAAACAACAATCATAGAAAACATTAATCATAACCACAGACAGTTTAGCTGTGGTTCTACAAACTTCATTTTCATTTCAGTGTAGTCGCAATGCCTCCTTGCCCCTGGGAATTACTGAAGCAATATGTTTAATTAGGGATGGCAAAGAAATAGAGTGATCGCCCCAAAGGCTTTGAAAGGATAAATTGCATATTGATATCACGTCCTCTGGTGAAAGCTGTCAGATGCTTTGATGAAAAATAAAGCCAATATAAGAATATGCTACCCAGAAAAAAAATATCCATGCTTGAGATAGCTACATTTTTTAAGAAAATTCTGGAATGTCATTTAATATGAGCTGGCTACACAGCAGGTAAAATTATTCTTTATTATGTCAGTACTTATCCGAAAGACTCCTGACAGTAAGAGATATATTGCCGGTAGTTTAATATTTCAGCTAACTTTTTATATTTTTAAAGATATCAAAACCTATCCTGTCACATTAGAAGTGTTCACTTTAGTCTCCTCACTAGACCAAAGTTTGGAATACATGTATTCCCCATTTCCCCTGCAATTTCTGTATCAATTGATTGGTTGAGTTCTTCATTTTCTCTTTTAAATCAGTGTGCAGCGATGCTGTGTGCTGTTAAATAACTGTTCCACTGGTGATAGCTGCGTTCCCATATACGTTCTACTTTAAGCACAAAGCTTAAGCAGCCCTATAATATTTAGTATTGGTACTACTGCCTGTGCCTCGGAGCCCTACTTATAGTAAAAAGACCACTGTGATTATTTCTAAACTCTCTCCATTTTTCTCTTGTGCCACTGCAGACAATACAGAATCACAGAATGGTCAGGGTTGGAATGGACCTCTGGAGATCATCTAGTCCAAACCCCCCTGCCAGAGCAGGGTCATCTACAACAGGTTGCACAGGACAGCGTCCAGGCGGGTTTTGAATGTCTCCAGAGTGGGAGACTCTACAACCTCTCTGGGCAGCCTGTTCCAGTGCTCCACTACCCTCAAAGTAAAGAAGTCCCTCCTCATGTTGAGATGGAACTTCCTATGTTCAAGTCTGTGCCCGTTACCTCTTGTCCTGTCACTGGGCACCACTGAAAAAAGACTGTTCCCATCCCCCTGGCACGCTCCCTTTAAGTATTTGTAAGCATTAATAAGATCCCCCCTCAAGTCTTCTTTTTTCTAGACCCAAGTCCCTCAGCCTTTCCTCATAAGAGAGATGTTCCAATCCCCTAATCATCTTTGTAGCCCTTTGCTGGACCCTCTCCAGCAGATCCCTGTCCTTCTTGAATGGGGGAGCCCAGAACTGGACGCAGTACTCCAGATGCGGCCTCACCAGGGCAGAGTAGAGGGGGAGGATGACCTCCCTCGACCTGCTGGCCACACTCTTCTTGATGCACCCCAGGATGCCATTCGCCTTCTTGGCTGCCAGGGCACATTGCTGGCTCATGGTCATCCTGTTGTCCACCAGGACTCCCAGGTCCCTCTCCACAGAGCTGCTCTCCAGGAGGTCAGCCCCCAACCTGTACTGGTGCATGGGGTTATTCCTCCCCAGATGCAACACCCTACACTTACCCTTGTTGAACTTCATAAGGTTTCTTTCTGCCCAACTCTCCAGCCTGGCGAGGTCACGCTGTAAGGCAGCACAGCCTTCTGGCGTGTCAGCCACTCCTCCCAGTTTTGTGTCATCAGCAAACTTGCTGATGGTACACTCTATCCCTTCATCCAGATCATTGATGAATATGTTGAACAAAACTGGGCCCAGTACTGACCACTGTCCATTCATCTAACCCACACTTCCTAAGCTTGCCTGTGAGGATGATGTGGGAGACAGTGTCGAAAGCCTTGCCGAAGTCAAGGTAGACAACACCCACTGCCCTCCCCTCATCCACCCATCCAGTCACACCATCATAGAAGGCTATCAGATTAGTCAGGCATGACTTCCCCACAGTGAATCCGTGTTGACTACTTCTGATAACCTTCTCTTCCAGGTGCTTTGAGATGACACCCAGAACAAGCTGTTCCATCATCTTTCCAGGGAGGGAGGTGAGGCTGACAGGCCTGTAGTTTCCCGGGTCACCCTTCTTGCCCTTTTTGAAGACTGGAGTAACATTGGCTTTCCTCCAGTCCTCAGGCACCTCACCTGTTCTCCAGGACCTTTCAAAGATGATGGAGAGTGGCCCAGCAATGACTTCCCCCAGCTCCCTCAGCACTCGAGGGTGCATCCCATCAGGCCCCATGGGCACCTTCTCCCATTAAGACACTCCACAAATTTGTGAATTATTTAAGGCAGGTACTTTATTCAGTAAATCCC